CAAATTTTCGTCGCAGTAATCTCAGCAACTACTCATTGCTGATGCTTGAAATTTTAGCACTCTTTTTGTCTAGGCATGCAATATGGTGGGATTCATTTTTCTACAAGTCCGATATCAACTCCCTGTTTATCCGTGCACCTGTCCGTACCAAATTTTCGTCGCAGTTTTCTCATCAACCACTCATTGCAAATGCTTTAAATTTTAGCACACTGTTTTTGTAGGAATTCCATATGGTGGGATTCATTTTTTTTTTACGAATCTGATATCAACTTCCTGTTTATCCATGAGTCTGTCCGTACCAAATTTCCATCACAGTTTTCTCAGCAACTACTCAAGGCAGATGCTTGAACACACCTTTAGCACACTCTTTGTTTAGGCATGCCATATAGTGGGATTCATGAGAGCGTATATTCACAACAGAGCGGGGGTATTGCTAGTGAGCATTGGCTCACAGACTTCTTGTTTACTTTGATTTTTTATCTTAAAAACTGTTTGTACCAGCAGAAAAATGATCATAAAAATTAGTTATAGAGATAACAGTATTCATTGATGAAAGATAAAAAATAATCCAGTGGTATATGTATAAGTTTCAATCACAGAATTTTTAAAATCTCCATTAAAGAAAAGGACTCTGACCTTATTTGACTCCTAATGATTTCAGGAGAGGTTTGTGAATTTCTACATACGAAAAAAATGAACGTAAAATAAAATTAATATTGATTAATTCATAAAGTATACGTTTACGAGTTTGTAAAAAACAATTTGACATTATATTCAAACAGCATTGTAAATGTTGTTTTTATCCGAAGCAAAACGTCAAGGAAAACTGAGGGAGCAAATGTGTCCGCTTTACATTATATATCGTTTTCACAAAAATTAATCTGTTAATCTGTCATTAAGAACTGGCGAAACAAAATAGTTAAGAACGAATTCAAAAAATGACGAGCAAACTAAATTTTAAAAAAAAATCAACGCGTACATATATTGTATATACATTCTAGTTAAAATTTTACAGTTTTTAAGTTACAATAAAATTGACAATGCATAAAAAAGTTGCAGAATTTTTATCTGTATAACTTCATTTGAAAACAAAAGAAAATATAACTACATTCTAAAAGACTTTCTCATAATCAAAAGAAATTGCAGTCTTCTTTCGGGGATATTTATGTAAGATCTTAACCAAAACTGGGTTTCTTCTCTTGCATATGTGAAAAAAGGCTTTTAATTTGCTATTTTAAAACATTAATTGTCTCACTTTTGGTTTGAAAAGTTTTGATATGAAAAAACTTTAATGAAATAAATTCTCCAAAAATTACTTTTTTGTCAGTTTTGTCCATTCTTCAAATCTAAGCCAAAACAGAAGTTTGATATCGTAAGTTTTCTTATTTAAAAAGTTCGATTTTTAAAGTGATCGTATTTTACCTTATTTTGTTGCACTCCTGAAATCTGGTATGTTTTTTTTTATCAAGCATTGTTTAAAATATTTAACACAATATCTCATTCTAATTTTATATAGCAGTTCGTTGTTGATATTTCTTTTTATTTACAGAGAGTTTTTATATTTTCTTGACTTCAAAATTTGCTTACTAGTATTTGCTTATGTAATATATAAAATTTGCTTATGTAATATATATATATATATATATATATATATATATATATATATATATATATATATATATATATATATATATATATATATATATATATATATATATATATATATATATATATATTAAAAAATATATGTTTGATGATGAAAACTGTTCTGTGAATTGACTTAAAATTTCCAAAAATGTCTGTGATTTGTTGATATATACATAATGATTTCAGCTACAAATTGTATCAAGTATTTTCTATAATTTATTTTGTAGTAAAGAGAGGTGAACTTCATTGATAATTATAAAACAGTTTTGCTGCACTCCTGACTGGAGTAAAATTTAAAATCAAAACCACAAAGCACAAAAATTCATAGCGTTTTGGCAACATCAAGCTGTGATGAAACTGTGCAATGTCTTAAGTCCAATACGTCTTGGTTAAAAAATCATAAAATTGTTGCAAATTTTGCTTTATATCCAAAAATTATTCCCTATTTATATCGTAAAACTAGCTTGAAATAAGTAAGATAAAGGTTTATATTATAGACCATTTTACTTCATGGGACAAACACTGTTAGCAAATGAGATCAACCAAAAACATTCTACTCATCATTTTTTGTCTATATTTATTCAAATATGATCACTGATAATTCTAACATTTTTGTTGCACTTCTGACCAAGAGCATGTAAGACTTTAAAGTAGAATTGTGAAGCATAAAAACATCAGATCCATTGTATCAGTAAAACCATGGTGCAATTATCTGAATTTTATTACAAGTTTTTTTCAGCGTTGTTTTTAAAATTTCTTAGTTTTTTTTTTTTTTTTAAAAGATAAAAAAAACACAACTCTAATTAATTTAGTGCTAAATCATTCAAATAGATGCTTATTGATCAAACGATACTTGATAGTATGAATAGGAGTCTGTTCATCATTGAACTTGAATCGTTATATAAATGTGTTGCACTCCTGGCCGTGGAAATATGGATCCAAAACACGGACAGATCCTGTAAATGATAGATTAATTTGATAAAAATGTCCCTTTTGTCTTTATTTTCCATAAGGAATAAAGCAAAAGATTATATACTGATTAAAGTTTATCCGAGTTGGAGAGCAAAACATCAAATTATACATTCCTGACATGTGGACATGTTGTATCCAGAGATATTTGACTCCATTAGTGCTGTTTGTGATTCATACAACTTTTTAAGCCTTTAAATGGTCTATTGGATTTTGTTATACACTTTCTAAATTCCTTTTTGACTTAATTGTCATACAGATTTCTAAGTTCAGTATTTTTTGGCATCATTACATTTAATCTGTTGCTCTCCAGACATGGTATAAAAATTTTTTAGCATCAGCCGTGACCATACCTTGGTCAAGCAAAAGTTATTGCAGTCTTAATTTAAAGCTCAATACATTGAATTTAATCAGGAAAATCTTTATTTCCAACATAAACCATTATTATTTATTTAACAGATCTTCAAAAACTACGGAATTTTCAAAATGTCACAAAAAGGTGTTGCAATCTTGACATTTTAAGCATTACTTTTTTATTTCTTAAGATATCAATGAGATCTTTGCCAGGCATTTATCCAGTATTGAAAGGCATGTGTTGAGCTAAAGAAACTTATTCATATAGCCTGATTTTTTAGTGCAGGTTTATAATTATGTGTCTGGATTTTTTATTCGCCCGTCTTAAGACGGGACGTATTATGTTATAGCGTTCATGTACGTCCGTCCGTCCGTCTGTTAGCTTTTTCGTGTCCGGCTCATAACTTTAATACTATTAAGCCTAGAGTTATCAAACTTTGTCAGCTGATGCATCTTGGGTAGAAGGTGTGTCGCGCATTAAAAATAGGTCACTCTGACCTTTAATTAAGATGCTATGGCCAAATGGAAAAATCCTGTCCGGCTCATAGCTAGAAAACTGTTAAACTTAGAATCATCAAACTTGGCAAAGTTATGCATTTTAGGTAGAAGGTATGTCTCGACCTATTTCAAGGTCACTGTGACCTTTAATTTAAGTGAAATTAAAAAAAAACTGTATCTCTATACTATTAAAATACACAACCTCAAAAAATGTAAGAGTTTTGTTGGATCATTATTAAAAAAATGTTAAATCAAGAAAATACTCGAAGTCTGTGGGACCGAGGAAAAATTTCGAGAGATCAAGAGTTCGAGTTTTCAAGAGTCCGGAATTTTCTGGGTTTGTTGACAGGTTTTAAAATTAGTCTCACCGGATGTAATGATTTTCATGCAGTGCTAACCTCTTACATGTGGTTTTTATAAAACAACGATATTTTTTCATAATTTAGATGAATATTTCATTAAAGTGAGTAAAGGAAAAAATGTATATCGTCATTTCATATATATTTATTTATTCTTTGTAATACGGACATCATACTACACATTCGTTACATAAAAACGACATTTTACAGCGTCGTACATAGCATTGAATATTCCAAACATGATCATTGAACGCAATTCTGTATTTGTCTAATAATACTTGTCGTATTGACATTGAGGCTGTTTCTGCTTTTTCATATTTCGTTCAACTTTGACACTGACTCGAAATAAAAATTAAATTAGTATTTCGTCTTTGAACCGACTACTACTTTTCACTACACTGCGCCTCTAACTTATTGTAAGGCAGTCGTTGATAAATACTTAAACAGCATATAGGCTAAATATGATTAATTATAAACCAATTATCACCTCGCAGCATAAGTGTTACCTGAATAAACATCTCGTTCCTCGAGACCCGCGACTTCTGCCTGGGGCCATTGAAATGTCCAGGTAAAGGTGCTAATTATATAACCTTGTATACACATAGCCACTTCGAGTAATCAAGGGTAAATTCCAATAGAATATGCATAACAGGACCGCATTTTGACTTCGAGGGATCAAGGGTTTCGAGAGATCAAGAGTTCGAAAATCAAGAGTAAATTTGGTTATTATATAGGGGAAAAATTCGGGACCGGAGACTCACTTCGAGCGATCAAGAACTTCGAGAGATCGAAGTTCGAGCCATCAAGAGTTACCTGTATATATATATATATATATATATATATATATATATATATATATATATATATATATATATATATATATATATATATATATATATATATATATATATATATATTATTAAAATATTTTTCCTTAGTATTGGGGCAAAATAAAATCCAAATTTAAATGAAAAACTCAAACTTTCGAATCTACTAATGAGCCCGCATTGGGCGAAAGAGCTATATAATAAAGTTTGAGTTTTTCATTTAAATTGAAATATATATATAATAATCATAATAGAATAAACCAATTTTCTTCTGTTCCTTTTTTAAAATGATGATGATGATGATGATATATTCATTTTTCATTTTTTTCTCTTTCTCTTTTTGCAGGTTATAGGATGAAAGATGAAGGTTTGGGGATATTGAACATTCTACTTGACAACAATTTACCATTGGATGCTCCAAACTCGAAGGGAAAATATCCTTTAGAGGTTGTAATGGTTTTTGATAATGCAGAGACTGAAATTCAGAAAATGCTGTCTAAGGGTGCAGACCCAAACAAGTACGATGTCAGTGAAGAATGTCCACTGATCAAATCAGTATATGGAAGTCCGTCAGTAACATGGGCTTTATTAAAAGCCGGGGCCGATTCACAGACGACAGCAAAAGATGGGAGAAGTGTATACGATTTGTTCACTGGTGTGTTCTGTAATAAAAACTTTTTTGTAACTTAAAAAATATTTATATCCTGACGACTTTTACTAGTTCATTTGAATTTATCTGAGCAATTACTAAGGTGTTAGAAATTTAGAAATTCTCAATATGACTACTAGTATTTTTGGGCCATAGCGAGCGTCGGCATTTCGTACCTCCGATGGTAATGAAAGGGACAAATAAAAATGTCTTTTTTTAAATCTTAATATAATTATATATAATGAATATAAGCCTTTAACTAAAAGATTTATGAAAAAGATTAACCAGGAAAAAGCATAACTTATAACTTGATATTGTACTGTGTTATTGTTACTTTGCAGAAAGAGCCTTTTATGATGACAATTTATCTTGTCCTGGTAAGTATAATGTACTGTCCTTTTGTATTGGACTACTTGGATAAGATAAAAATCGAGAATGTCCATCATTATTTTTAAGGACAAATGATACTCAAAAAATGTCAAAGATAATGCCTTTGTAGGAGGAGTTTTGTAAATCCGTGAGACGAGCATCCAAAAATTCCGTATCAGAACTAATTGTACAAAGAGGTCTTTCTAAATTGTATGGAATATTACATGTATTCCTGGTGTGCCTAGGGTAACATGATTCAAATATTGGATATTTTATCCTAGAAAATTGATTCAAACCCGAATAAACGAAGCAAAATCTCACGAAAAAAGGTCTACTTATTGTTTAAAACAAGCCCATTAATAATGTCGTACCATACGTTTCAACAGTTCTATCCAAGAAATCCGGATAATTTTAACATAATTAGAAATAACCTTCCTATCTAAGAGAACGACCCAGACATGAAAAAGTATTAGGAACACACTTAAAGTAATATTTTGAGATAGCAGTTTAAATATACAGAGAAACAGTGCACTTTTTTGTGCACAATAAATATACATTTTTTTCAATCGGGGCACTGTAGCTCTCTGGTTATCCATCCAATTTATTAGGTCACCTGAGTCACTCAGGTGACCTATTGCTATCCGTTTTTGTCCGTCGTCGTCCGTTAATATTTAAACATTTTCAGCTTCTTCTCTGAAACCGCTTAACCAATTCCAACCAATTTTGGCCTATAGCATCTATGGGTAAAAGGGGACAAATATTGTGAATTTCATGGTCCCTACACCCCTGGGGCCTGAGGGGTGGGGCTAAAACCACCAAAATTAATGCAATCTTTAAAAATCTCCTTCTTTACTCCTGGACATCAAACAGTCAAATTGTTGGCATGATTGTAATAAGCATTGAACCCTCTACCAAAACTGTGAAATTCAAAGCCCCAGGGTCAGGGGTTCTAGTGCTAGGGTAGGGCTATCTAGATCATATAGTGAAACTGCATTATTTCTTTGAAAATCTTCTTCTCTGTTCCTGGGTATTAGATAAACTAAGTACATTTTTATGTTGAGCAAGACTGCCTCTTCCAAAATTGTGAATTTCATGGCCCCTGGGTCAGGGGTTCTGGCGTTAGGGCGGGGCTCTATTGATTATAAAGTGAAAATGCATTAAATCTTTGAAAATCTTCTCCTCTGCTCCTGGGTATGAAATAAACGAAGTACATAGTTATAATGAAAATGGCTGCCTCTTCCAAAATTGTGAATTTCATGGCCCCTGGGTCAGGGGTTTTGTTTAAGGGAGGGGAGAGGGGACTCTATTGACTATATAGTGAAAATTCATAATTTCTTTTATCTACTCCTGGTTATAAAGCAAAGAAACAAGTGTATAGTTATGATGAGCATGGATGCTTTTACAAAATTTTTAAAACTTGTGGTCCCAGGGGGTTCTCTTTTTTCTCTGAGGGGGGGGGGGGGGGGCTCTATTTGATGATATAGTGAAAATGTGTGAATTCTTTGAAAATGTTCAACTAATTGCATAGTTATGATGTTGAGGGTACCTCTTCCAAATTCCAAGGTCATGGGTTCAGGTGTTAGGGTAGGGCTGTGTTAAATAGGGAAAATGCATTATTTCTTCGAAAATCTCCTCTGCTGCTGGACATATTGGAAGCAAACAGAGTAAAAGTTTTAATAAGCAAAGGTATTTTTATCAGAATTTTGAACATCTGGACCATTTAGTCAAGTGTTCTGGTCCTGGCCTGGGCTCTATTAATTTGTATTCTATTGAGTGAAGTTATTCCACTTTGCCATTCACTTTTGATAATCGATCACTGTAGATAATGTATTTGAAAGGTTAATAGAGTAAGAAAATTATGCAAGAACATTTATTGTATAATACAAAAAGTACTTTCATAGTTTTAATAATCAGGTAGACTTGGAAATAATAGATGAATAAAAATGAAACAAAAATAACTTATCTTCTTAAATGTTTTTCAAAGGCCAAGGGAGGCCAATGTGAGAGGTAAATAATATAGACATATTGTTAAAAGTATGCATGGTAATAGTGATAAATGGGGGACAGATAGAAAGATACTAGACCAATTATTTTGTTGATCTTAGTCGTATTTTTTTCTTGCTATTGGGCAACAAAGCTTCATTTATCAGTTTATGAATCCTCTAAATAGTTGTACTCAGGTGACCGTTAAGGCCCTTGGGCCTCTTGTTTAGACCAGCGAATTACAGATCTGAAGCTAATAAGCTTTCTAAAATTTTCTTTTTTGATGCAATTTAGATGAAGGATTAGCAGCGGAAATTCAAATGAGAGCTCTAACAAGAAATCAAGTATCCCTCATAAAAATAGAGGACATCTCTAATACTTTCACCATATCAGAAAAAATTAGACCATTTTTGAAACAACTTCAAGTAAGAGGCTTTATTTGTAAAATCAATTTACATCTGGCCCATCAAATATTCCAGTTACGATTTGTACAGAAAGTAGTGTTAATTCACATATTTTTACAGCTAAAGAGTTTGAGGAAGCAACAATCTCTTTATCCCATATGATGTAATGCAAGCAAGACTCTATCCTTAAAGAAGTGTGTGTGTGATATACATAAATAAGTGTTCCATATTCAAAATATTTTAGAAAAGGCCAGCAACTAAAGTCTCTGGAAAATCAATGCTTGTTCAATTTGAAGATAGTCTTTCCTGTTGGAAAACAGTGCGATGGCTTGATAAAGTATGATTTTTATATTTGAGTACTTTGTTTAAGGAAGAATAATTTTCTGATCAACAAATCTCAAAGAGCGAATGATTTACTTCAAGACCTGTCTAAGGGTTTTACCTCTTGTCTTTGTCAACCCTCTAGATTTAAAAGACCATTCACTTCTTTAAAATAATATTCATTAGAAGAATTAAAAGCAACAGAGACTAGAATATATTTCCTCTAAATTAATTTTAGCATTGAGGTAAATATAAAATTTTAAAAAAGGTCTATACTTTCCAACAATTATACCTTTATTTATCCTTTACAGTTAGTAAAGAAAGGTGAAGTACGGAATTTGAAAGCCAAAGACGACCACATTTGTATGTAATATGCATTTCTTTGAACTTAAGTATGAAATCCAATTTTTGCTTAATTCTGTCAATGATGAAATTAACCCCAAAATAAACATGGTTGTATAGTTTTTGAAATGTTTCATCTGCCTTCTTCTGTTTAAATAACTTGGTCATTTGTAAACATTTTTAATTAATCAAATCACGAAGTGTTTAAATCCTAGCATTAGCCAACTCTATGTAGTGCAGATGAATATTACCATTGTATGACAATAAAATTGATCATAAAGGAATTTTGCTAGGAGAGAAATATTTTTTTTTTTAAAATCCAGTTTGATTTATAACTATTTTCCAATAAAGTGTTAAGTTAAACTACGGTTTCTATATATAAGCCTATAGTATTTTAAGCAGGTGGATCATATGAAAATTTTGTCTTTACAGTAGTTGTAAATATAAAATTTTGAAATAGTGAATTCATATCTGCATTTATATATCAAAGCTTATATTAAGTAATTCAGAATTTCTTGTCAGACTTCAAAAATCTAATCTATGGAACTGTTTAATTTTTTTGAGAAAAAATTAATTTGTTATAATTTTCCTATAGTTTGGAGAAATATTAAGCAGAAAGTGAAACTCCGAAGGTAGGTTATACGTATTCATGAGGAATCCATTGATAATCGTTTCCTTTCTTTTTCTAAATGTTTGTACTTCCAATCATCAAATCCTTTAAGTTTTTGATATAAAAAATTCAACATGCTTGCAGAAATAAAGTTTTCTTTATAATATTAGTATTTTGAGAGGGTACTTATGTAAATTTAATGTATGACTGAAAAATAATGTTTAAGAAATGTACTTCGAACGGGAAAAAATACCGTTTCAATGGTCATCTTTAACTTGATCTACTTGAATCCCTGCCCAATAGAGTTTCTCTAATTTAATTGAATATTGCTTTTCTTTTTTATAGAAGCATAAAAAAAGGTAAGGAAAAATCATTTTATGTATATTAAAAAAACCACATTTAACTTATTGTAAGTTTTACCGCTAAGCTCAATTTTAAGAATGTGAACTTTAATGTTAAGAAATAAATAATTACAAAATCCAGTAATTAAATGATGGGTGTAAAAAATTACCTCAAGGACGTCATGAGTCTATATACATGTAGGAATATACACTAACCAGTATATATATATATATATATATATATATATATATATATATATATATATATATATATATATATATATATATATATATATATATATATATATATATATATATATATATCCAAATATTTTTTCCTTAAAAGTCTGCAAATTGGAATACTGTTCATTTCCTCATGAACTACCATGGATGAGCATCAATATCTACATTGTTAGGTCATAATAACGTAATTGACGTCAAAACTATAGTGCAAACTGTTTTGCTTTAAAAATGACAGTTGAATGGCGTTATTTGTAGCAACTCATCAGAAAAATATTGTAAATATAATAAATGAATTTAATTTTTGAAGATTCACGAGCTACATGAACTACAACGCTTCGCGCCGGCGTGAAGCATCGTAGTTCATGTCCTCATGAATCTTCAAAAATTAAATTCATTTCTTATATATATATATATATATATATATATATATATATATATATATATATATATATATATATATATATATATATATATATATATATATATATATATAAAATATATATATATATATATGGAGATAACGAACAGTATTCAAGCTCAAAAGTCCATTAAACAATACAAAATAGGAGCAGAGCAAACACTGACCTCCAAACATCAGAGGTGGGATCAGGTGCCATGGAGGAGTGAGCATCCCCTGCCGACCGGACACACCCGCCGTGTGCTCCTTGTTATGATCGGGAAATAAGGAAAAATCCATCGACAATTCAGTGTGTAAATAATGGCCTAACAATGAGTATGAAAAACGTCAGGCAGCATTTGATTCAATGATAAATTTTATTTGCTTACAAGGTCATTGTATCCACCATAGAACTTACGAAATCAAAGTATCATTTCCAAAAAAAATAAAATAATGATCCAAGGTTTGAAAATCATAAAGATAAGATACATTTTTTTTTCTTTTATTAAAATCATAATAGGTCACAAACATATCATATATTAGTATATAGTAACAATATACAAAAAAGTATAGTAGTCAATTTTTTAAACCAAAAAAATCACCTAAATCATAAAATATTGCTTCTAATCTGACCATTCTTTTTGGAAATATCATTTTGAATATAAAACATAGACTTCAGTCTATGTAGGAGATTTCTCTCAGACATTTTCTCATTTTTTAATCTACATTTCATCTTATACATAGTGAAGCTAATAAAAGCTAACAAACTATTCTAAAGCAAAGGTTTTTCACTACTTTCATTATAAAATCCAAGTACAATTAATTTTTAAGTATATCAAATTTTAGAAAAAGGCTCACCTTTTCCCATATGGGTTCAAAAATTTTTAAAATCAAACAGGAGATGTTTTGTATCAAGCTACGGTTTCAATACAAATTTTGCCATGTATATATTTTTCTTAAATATGAAAGAGATGTAAAAAAAAAAAAAAATAAAACTCATGCCTTTTGAATCATTGCAATTTCATGCAGTAAGAAGATACAAATCGTTTTTGTCAATCACCTCCTAAGTGCTAATTGTGACGTTATGCATTTTCCCGTATCTTCTTAAAAAGTAGCAGAAAACATCAATTTTCAGTAGAATTTTCTATAAAGTAATATAGAGCACATGCATCGCCCACAAAGATTTTGATAAATGTGATTTTTTAAAGGATTTTACTCAACATATCCAAGAATTAATGTGGGTGACGGCTGTGGACGCCATTTTCTTAAGGGAAATAACCCCTGAAATGAGTCATTTTGTGGCTTTTTAGGTCACCTGAGTCACTCAGGTGACCTATTGCTATCCGTTTTTGTCCGTCGTCGTGCGACGTGCGTCGTGCGATGTGCGTTAACATTTGAACATTTTCAGCTTCTTCTCTGAAACCGCTTAACCAATTTCAACCAAATTTGGCATTTAGCATCTATGGGTAAAGGGGAATAAAAATTGTGAATCTCATGGTCCCTGCCCCCCTGGGGCCTGAGGGGTGGGGCTAAAACCACCAAAATTAATGCAATCTTTAAAAATCTTCTTTCTTACTCCTGGACATCACGCAGTCAAACTGTTGGCATGATTGTAATAAGCGTTGAGCCCTCTACCAAAATTGTGAAATTCATGGCCCCAGGGTCAGGGGTTCTGGTGCTAGGGCGGGGCTATATAGATCATATAGTGAAAATGCATTATTTCTTTGAAAATCTTCTTCTCTGCTCCTAGGTATTAAATAAACTAAGTACATAGTTATGATGAGCATGAATGCCTTTTCCAAAATTGTGAATTTCATGGTCCCAGGGTCAGGAGTTCTGGTGTTAGGGTGGGGCTATATAGATCATATAGTGAAAATGCATTATTTCTTTGAAAATCTTCTCTGCTCCTGGGTATTATTTAAACAAACTAAGTACATTGTGATGAAAAGCAAGGATGCTTTATCCAAAATTGTGAAATTCATGGCCCCAGGGACAGGGATTCTGGTGTGCTATGGCGGGGCTATATCGATCCTATAGTGAAGGTGATTTATTTCTTTGAAAATCATCTTCTCTGCCCCTGGGTACTATTTAAACAAACTAAGTACATGTTATGACTTGTTATGAATTTGTTATGATATGCCAGGATGCTTCTTCCAAAATTATGAATTTCATGGCCCCAGGGTCAAGGGCTCTGGTGAAAAGGGGGGGGGGGGCTCTATTGATTATATAGTGAAAAAGCGAAATTTCTTTGAAAATATTCTTTATTGCTTCTGGTTAAAAAGCAAAGAAGCTATGTGTATAGTTATGATGAGAAAGAGTGCTTCTTCCAGAGTAGTGAATTGCTTGAGCCCTGGGTCAGATGTGCTGGCGTAAGGGTGGGGCTCTTGATAATATAGTGAAAATGCATTAATTCTATTTAATAATCCTGTCTGCTCCTTAGTGTTAAGCAGATAAACAAAGTGGTTTCTTATTTTGAGCAAACTTCTGGTCCCAGGGTCAGAGGCTCTGGTGTTTCTCGGTGGGGAGGGAGGGCTCTATTGATAATATAGTGAATCTGTAGTAAAAATGCATTATTTACTTAAAAATCTTCTCTGCACCTGGGCATGTCAGAGGCAAAAAGAGTAAATGGTTTAATAAGGAAGGGTATTTTTTTTCCAGATTTTTGAACATCTGGACCTGGCCAGGGCTCTATTAATTTGTATTCTTCTGAGAGGATTTATTCCTCTTTGCCATGTACTTTTGATAATTAATCACTGTATATAATGTACTTGAAAGGTTAAAAGAATAAGAGAATTATGCAAGAATTTTTATTGTATAATGCAAAAAGTACTTTCATAGTTTTAATGATCAGTTAGACTTTTGAGTAATAGATAAATAAAAATGAGACAAAAATAACTTGTCTTATTAAATGTTCATCAAAGACCAAGAGAGGTCAATGTAAGAGTTTGCAACAAGGACTTAAATTTTGGCCACTTGCACATGTTTGGCTTAAGCCTGGATCAAGGTAATCTAGGCTTAAGTCAGGTTCAAAATTATCAAATCACTTGCAGACCTCTCTGATTTATCTGAGTAGAGCTCAGAATTGTGGTTTACTGTAAACCAGGTAATGGGCAGGTTTAAAGGAAGGTTTATATAAGGGATGGAGTATTATTTTTATGAGATAGAGCAAATTTATTTAGTGGAAAGATTTATCAGGCGAGAAAGAATGGTACGAGACAGGACAAATCCTTTTTAAAATTATTCCGAAGAGGAATTTATAGACAGATTTTGTATAAGAAAGGAATGAGTAATTGAATTATCAAATGAAATTGGGGAACACCTGGAGCCAAAACAAAAGAAGGTTTCATCAATATCACCTCTTGATTAACTACTAATAGCTTTACGGTTTTACGGAACTGGATTCTGGAGATCTCTTTGGAGTTCACGAAAGTTCAGCTTCTAGCATTGTGAAGAGAGTATCGTCTGCATTGGCATCGCTTTACACGAATTATATAGTATTTCCATCAGGAAATAAACTAACTGAAATCCAAAGAGGTTTTATGAACCATAGTGGTATTCCGGGAATAGTGGGTGCAATAGACTGTACCCATATCTCAATACAATCACCTGGAGGTGGCACCGCAGAAATTTTTCGTAACAGGAAAGGATTTTTCTCCATCAATGTGCAAGCAATTCATGACAATGATCTAATGCTTACAAACGTGGTTGCAAGATGGCCGGGAAGTACCCATGACAGTCGGATTTTTGAGAACAGTAGTGTCTGTGCTAGTTTTGAAAGAAGAAATATTCCTGGGATTTTGATTGCAGATAATGAATACCCTCTCAAACCTTTTTAGTAACATCCCTTCTTACTTGCCGGACACCACAAGAGAGACGCTTTAATTTTGCTTTGAGTAACAGTCGAGTTAAAATTTTAAAAATATGTATTTGGCATTTGGAAAAGACGCTTTCCTTGCCTTCGAAACCAGTTGTGATTTAAGTTTTCTACAACCTTGCACATTATTATTGCTTGCGCAGTATTGTACAATATTGCTAGGAAAGCTGCGATCCCGGTACCAGATGATGACGATGAAGGAGATATAGTTGTTCCAGTTCCGGTGCCAACAAATGCAAACCAAGGGGACAGGCTTTAAGAGCAGTTTTGATAAGACATTTTCAGTAAAAAACTGAACAAGTAAGTTTAATTGATTACAAATTTAATTTTTCAATTCTCAAATGTTTATCGTAAGCTTTATATTTGTTAATATGCAAAATACTATTCATTGTGCATATGGCTGCCAGAAATAGCCACTGTTGTTGTTAGAATCTTTACCCCCACATGTAGTGGTTGGAGGTACTGGCAAATTATGTTCACTTAATTTTATTTCGTTCTCTAGTTTCTGTTTCTTCAACTTTAGTATGTCCTCTTTCAACTGAAGGATTGTCACCTTTTTACTATGTTCTATTTCTGCAATTTCCAGAAGCCTATTCTTGACTTGGTCTTGACGTCCTCGACCAGCAGCTTTTCATTTAGTACCAGGAACTCTGGACGCTGGTTGTGGCGGTTTAGCGGATTCTTCCGACATTATCGGCACATCCTCCTGAATTGTGTTGGTTGTCAATATCTGTGAACAGTGAAGCATTGATTGTAATTATTATGAGTAAATAAAATATATTATTGATGTAATGGTTTTGTCAAAAAAAAAAAAAATACAATAAAGCATACATACAGTGGATTCCTCATGAAACGCGAGGAATTAATAACACTGTAAAATCGTGAGATTTTGTTTTCACGTATTTTAAAATCACGCTTTTATTTTAATAGCTGATTATTTATATAGAAATATTATAAATGTTGGGTGCGCCCGATTTTTTCATGCACTCGTAATTTGACAAAAATGGTAGGATCGCGGAATTATATGTACAGGTTGAAAAATAAGAAATCTACAGCGCATACATGTACATGTATGCAAAAAAATTTAATTAAAATTGTTTTAATGCAATAATGTTGACAAAATATACCTCGTCATTATCATCTGAATCTTCATTGTCATCTTCTGGTTCATCCCAATGGAGACTTGCATCATCGTCATATGGATTTGGCAAACTAAAAATTTGCTGTGGAAGCATTTCGGATATGGTGCTGGAAATTTTATCCAAGCTTTTCCCAGATGGTCCTCCGCCTGTCTTTTTCTTGTCTCTCCTCTCCTTAGGAACAGCAGACTTCGTTCTGGCTTTCAGATTTTTCCATAATGATTTCAACTGTCTTATGTTTCTCTTGTTTACACCGTGACTAGAATTAAATTCTTTCTCAATATTTATCCATTCTGTGTTCTTCTTACTAACCATTCTGCCATCATTCTGCTTATTTTCTATGATGTCCTTCCTACCATAGATAAGCTCTAACAAAATTTCTTTTTCTAATTCAGAAAAATTTGCTGACTTCTGTCTTGTTGCCATTATTTTCAAGGAATGAGATAATCTTAAGCCGTATTCAGGTAAGAAAGAGTTGAGTCACAGGTTTGCAACCCAAGTACTTCTCACCTGAGTACAGCTTAAGCCAGGTTTAAGACAGGGTTATCTGATCCCAAGATCACCTATTAAATCAGGGTTACCTGAGCTACAGGTATGCAAGTGGCCAAAAATAGTATAGAAGCACTGATAGTTTGTTAATATACTGTATGGTGATTAGTGATAATGGGGAACAGATTAGAACCTAAATTATGAACTGTTACTGAATGCTAGACTAATTATTTTGTTGATCCTGATCATCCTATTTTTCTTGCTTTTGGGCAACAAAGCTTCACCTTTCAGTTCATTTTATACTCTATGGATCCCCTAAATTGTTGTATTATACTCAGGTGACCGTTAAGGCCCTTGGGCCTCTTGTTATGTTTAAAACTTTAAAATGTAACAGATTAATGACGTCATATTTGCACAGTGGTCCTCCTTAATGCCAGATTCTTTCATGATTTTTCACAATCATCTACTCAACTCATATTTAAGACAATTTCATAACTTTTTAAGAACATAAAATTTTTAGGGCACAATAAAGCCCAAACCTTCTTTCACAATTTTCACACAAAGGAGAAATATCCTTATTCCACTTGCTTACAGAAACATTGTTGTTCAAAATACCATGTAATAATTTATAATTAAATTCTGATATTCTCCTCTCGTACATATTCAAAATCTTACTTTTATAAATATTTTTCTATAAACAGCCATCCAGCACATTAAATATTTTTTTTATCGGTTTTCAAACAATGGTTTTTGAAATTTCATGATAGTAATAAAATTGTTTCTTATCTCTCGTACTGATTTTACAACATTATTTTTAAATAAAAAATGCAAATTTGGTTTTACTTTCACGTATTTAGCAAAAGAACAGTCAAAATTTTGTTTATAATCTTAAACAGGTTTTTAAGCGTATAATATTCACCCAATATATTATTCTTTCTATTCAATTTGTTCAAGAAATAATTGATATCATATATTTCCCCTGATTCGTCAAATATATCTTTAATGTATAAAATATCACTTTGTATCCAATTTTTAAAACACAGGGGGTTTGAATTAAATTGAAAAAGTTTATTATTCTCTAAATTATTGGCATTTCTTTGCATTTTACATCTGGTAAAAACTGTAAACACATTGCCGTAAATTTCGGCAGATTTAATATTTTAAAAAACTCAAATTCGAAAAAGTAACACTCACTAGTTTTGATAATATCAAATTCTGTTTATTGTACTGTTGCAAAATATTATTGAGAACTCGATGTGTAACACTTTCTACATTAACCATTCTGCTAATCCACGATGTCTTTGCAGCATGAAATTTGCTTTCAACATCGACGATTCCCATCCTACCGTTCTCGACATTACCAACAAGCATTCGGAGAGTATTGCATTTAGCAATACTAGTCCCCTACCGGCAAGTGTAATCCGGTTCCCGTTAAGAATTGAAAATGCCATAATTCCGTCAAAAATTAATGAAGCGGGACGAAATGCAAACTTGATCTATAAGTAATCAAGGTAAAGCCACATACCAAAAATCAGCTCAATATCTACAAGCCTTTAGAAGAAAATTGCGGAAAACCCGTAAAAATTGAAAAGGCCGTAATTCCGTCAAAAATCAATGAAGCGGAACGTTAACGAAATGCAAACTTGATCTGTAACTCATCAAGATACACTCACATACCAAAAATCAGCTCAATATCTGCAAGCGTTTAGGAAAAAAGTGCGGAAAACCAAGTGGGACAGACTGACAGACAGACAGAGGGACAGACAGACTCAGAGGAAACCTATAGTCCCCTCCGGTTTCACTTGTAGGGGACTAACAAGCATTCTGTGAGTATTGCATTAGCAATACTAGTCCCCTACCGGCAAGTGTAATCTGGTTCCCGTTAAAAATTGAAAATGCCATAATTCCGTCAAAACTCATTGAAGCGGAACGGAATGCAAACTTGATCTATAACTCATCAAGATTAAGTCACATGCCAAAAATCAGCTCAATATCTGCAAGCGTTTAGAAAAAAATTGCGGAAAACCCTGAAAAATTCCGATAAAAATCATTGAAGCGGAACGAAATGTAAACTTATTCTGTAACCCATCAAGATATACTCACATACCAAAAATCAGCTCAATATCTGCAAGCGGTTAGAAAAAAAGTGCGGAAAACCAAGTGGGACAGACTGACAGACAGACAGAGGGACAGACGGACAGCTAGACAGACAGACGGACGGACGGATAGACTCAGAGGAAACCTATAGTCCCCTCCGGTTTCACCGTTAGGGGACTAGTAAGATAATTTCTTTTAATCCTATCTCTTTTTTCCATATGAAATTATATATGAGCTTCGAAACATTTTTTGAAAAAATCGATTTTTGCATTTTGTAATATACAATATCTTAGAAATAGATAATGTGTTTATGATGGTACATTTTCCGAATATTGTTAGATTTCGTCTTCTCCAGACACTATGTATTTTTCAAGTTTTTCAAGTTTACTAGTCCAATTTTTTCCTTAACATTCTACCTTATCATGCCCTAAATAAATACCGAGAGATTTTACACAAGTTTTCGCGATTTTAACTCCATCAATATATGTCTCATTGGCGTACTCATTTATCAGTGAGCCAGTTAATAGACATTCTGTTTTTTTCTAAATTAAGTCTCGGTCCAGAAACTTTTGAAAATTCTGAAATTATTTTCAATGCTTTTCTGAAAGACTGTGTATATTTTAACATATTTGTGCAATCATCGGCATGTTACATAATCTCTAGATCATCAATAGTAGTCACACTTTTCTGAAATGAAAGTCCTTTGATATCATTGTCGTTTCATATTAGTCCCCTATCGGTGAAACCGGAGGGGACTATAGGTTTCCTCTGAGTCTGTCCGTCTGTCTGTCTGTCTGTCTGTCTGTCCGTCCGTCCGTCTGTCTGTCTGTCCCTCTGTCTGTCTGTCAGTCTCTCCCACTTGGTTTTCCGCACTTTTTTCCTAAACGCTTGCAGATATTGAGCTGATTTTTGGTATGCGAGTGTATCTTGATGAGTTACAGATCAAGTTTGCATTTCGTTCCGCTTCATTGATTTTTGACGGAATTATGACCTTTTTAATTTTTACGGGTTTTCCGCGATTTTTTCTAAACGCTTGGAGATATTGAGCTGATTTTTGGTTTGTGACTTTACCTTGATTACTTATAGATCAAGTTTGCATTTCGTTCCGCTTCAATGATTTTTGACGGAATTATGACATTTTCAATTTTTAACGGGAACCAGATTACACTTGCCGGTAGGGGACTAGTATTGCTAATGCAATACTCTCAGAATGCTTGTTTGAATAGCTAATATTTCTAGTACAAAAATGAACAATAGAGCAGATCCTTGACGGATTCTTCTTTAGATTGTACGTGGTTTAGAGATCCACCCATTATTTTTTATTTTAAATTTAGGTGTATTAAAAGCGTTTTATCATCCCAATGAAATTGGGTCCGAAATTAAACTTCTCTAAGGTTTAAAGCATAAATTTATATTCAATAGAACAAAAGCTTTTTCAAAATCAAGAAAAAATAATATTTCATCTAAATTATTTGCTGAATTGTATTCGTATTCAGAAGCCTCAAAAATCAGTCGTGCGTTTTCGCCAATATATCGTCCTTTAATATATGCACTTTGTTCACGATAATTTTACCGTCTATCTTTTGTAGACGGTTAACTAATACATACTCAAATATTTTATAGTCAACATTAGTTAGACTTAGAAATCTGTAGTTCTTCAAGTTGTCGTTTTCACATTTTTTATAAACTAATGAGATTACCGCATTTCTTTGAGAAAGCGGCAGCATTCCTACTTCAATACTTTTGAGAAGAGAAGCATAATATAAATCTTTTAAATCATTCCAGAACTTTATAGAATTCTGCTGATAATCCGTCTTGTCCAGAAAATTTATCATTTTTCATGATTTTAACCACCATTTCACATTCTTGCATTGTAATTAATTCATTGCACGTTTTCTTTTCGTTTTCTGAGATTTTTGTGCACTTAACATTTTCAAGATAGGCTTAGATATCTTGAACAGATATATCTTTTCTAGTATATAATTTTTCAGAGAACTTAATAAGACAATCCATAATTCCTTTATTATCTGTATGTTCTGTTTGATTTTCATCAAAAATTATCTTTTATATGATAATAATAAGTTAAATAAAAAATATACAAACTCTGTTGATGATATATATGTGTGTGGTAAACATGTGAAATTAGGAATTTCATGTGTTTCCTTAACCTTTCAGTAGAAACCTGTTTTTACTGACTGCCTTAGGAAATACCTGTAATACTGATTTCATATATATATATATATATATATATATATATATATATATATATATATATATATATATATATATATATATATATATATATATATATATATATATATATATATATATATATATATATATATATATATATATATATATATATATATATATATATATATATATAGTCGGATGTTTTAGTACGAATTACGTGTATTTACGGAAATTTCAGTCAATTTTGTATGATTTTACTGCCCTTGAGGTGTAAAAATATTAGCCTAGTACATGTAAAAAGCAGGACGACTACAGAATGACTACAAGTATATATTATTAGAGTACAAATATGCATGCTTTTAAATCACCACCTTTACAAGAATTTTTCTACGAAGCTGACATTCGTCACACCTTGATTTAAACACAATGACGACATTAAAAGTAATGTGATATATGAGACCTTCATGTGGTAATTATACCCCCCGCAAACGAAGTTTAGGGGGTATATTGGAATCACAATGTCCGTCTGTCTGTAGACGAGATTTTGTCCGGACCTGCTCTCAGAGACTATTGCACGGATATGTCTGAAATTTTGTATACTTATTATTCACCATATGAAGGTGTGCACCTGGTATTTTCATCATGAAATCATCTGCATTTTACAGGGTTTTTTTTTATTTTTATTACTTGATTTTGTCCGACCTGTTCTCAGAAGAGACTATTGCATAGATTTTCTGAAATTTTGTACGCTCATTATTCACCATATGTGTGTTCACCTGCTATTTTCATCATTATTGGGTAATTTTTCTGCATTTTACAGGTTTTTTTTTTCATTTTTATTGACTTAAGTCATTTTGGGTCTATATAGGTTTAAGACATAGAATCTAGAACTGCAAGTTGGTACATCTGTACAAAAATGTGAACTGCAGCTTAAAACTACTCTTTAAAACTAAATATAAAATCACCAAGTATTAAAAAAAGTTTTTGGATAGAAAGTCCCTACAAATCCCAGAGTCATGCAGTAAAATTAAAAATGTTGCATCAAGATTACACAGTTCTTTTTTTTTCATTATATAAAGCTTTGTAGCAAATTAAAAGAAAAAAGTCTTTGTTTTCGATGGAATGACAAAGATATGCTTTTCTATTATACACAGTGCATTACAAGCAGTTAGTATAAATCCATTTATTCCTTGGGAGTAATGAGTGGACATGCATCCAATAAAGATTAATGAGTTCAGTGTGGGAAGCTATTAGGGCATCTCTGATCAAGCAGGTGTTATCTCTATCTCCTGGGAATTTGGCAGAAGAATTAAAGTTCTCTGTTCTCTAACTCTCTTAATTGTAATTTATAGTCTGTCAAAATACATATTTACTGGATGACTAGCCTTTTATTTTAAAAAAAAACTTTGATGTAAATTTATCAAGATAAATTTGATTTTGTATAATTAAAAATGATATTTCAATTTTTTTTCAACAATGAATTTGCAGAGTGTTATGTCTCACAAAGATGACAGATAGTTGCAATTTAATTTTTCAATATCATAAAAAAAACAATGTAATTATTTCTATTGATGTTTTATTAGGCTGCACTTAAGTTTCATTCATTAAAAAATATGTTTAATTATATTTTCACTCTAAATGTTTAAGCAAATTGTGAACACCTCTTAGATCCATAAAATATTAGTGATTTTGCACCTTTTTCTGAAAACCCAGCTGGGGGTATTTGTCCCATTTGGACAGTTCTAGTTTCTTTATTGTTAAATTCATTGGGGGATTCACTATAATCATTGTATTAAAATTTAAAGTGTTTTGTTAAGCTTAAGCAGTATTTATTTTGCCTTGTTTCAACTCAGATTTGGTTAACAGAACTTGCAGTATTACCGTTCATGTTTTGACATCCCCCATTTTCGATCATTTGTTTACAAATGTCATTGTCTAAATTCCTTCGTAAATACGGTAAAATGATAATTGATACTAAATTACAACTATCTATAATTACCTATAATTCTACTTTGTGCAGTATTGAGTTATTTGATTATTTATTTCTTGATGCAATCGTCATTTTACCGCTCTCGAACTTTTAAGTTGTGTACTCACTTGCGATTCTGCTGCCTGATTTTTTTATTATTTAACTATGTTGTATATTATTTTTTATCTTGAATCATTGTAATATGATGCTGACCCTATTTTTGCCTATTTTTCCCTAATGATGTGAACTGTTGTCTTTTTTATGAATCTCATCGACGCACTAAGTTGTGAAATCATACTTCCGTATTTACATATATCGCTGCGCGCACTACTTTAGAAGGCGCCTCGATTTTTACAGAAAAACTACATAGTCTTAGATATGTTTATTTATAAAACCAATAACATAATTTAGTGTCTTATTTTATTAAAATAATCCGGACACGGACTTGTACTGTTCATGAAATGTTTATAAAGGGTTTTAATCCAGCTTGTCCGGAAATCGGGAATTGTTGGGAATTTTAATAGATCCGTACAGCGTTTGGATTGAGTATAAATCCTCCGGACAAAAAAGAAAAACGCTGATTGGTCATAGAAGGTTATATAAGGAACACAACTTCAGCATCTTGACACTCTTGTTTCTTCATCCCTTTTGGCTGTTTAGTACAGAATATTATCTTAAGAGAAAGTCTAAGGTATTCAAGATGATAAATCTTGTTGAGGATAATGCTACTCTTTATAAGGAATTTGTGCATCCGGAAGTTCAGAGATTTATTTGTTAGTTTATGTGACATTTATGTTTACATCCGTAATTCCGAAAGCCAAAGAGCATTATTTTATAAAACCGTTTAAACAAAAACTTAACTGTTAAAATCAATTAATATCAAATTATTTTATTATGTAAATTCTACATTTGTAATTTTAAATTTGTAAAATCTATTACTGTGCATAAATAATAGGTGCTAAAATCTTATCAGATGAACTGTAAGTCTCTAACTCAGCGCCTCATAAAATTGTTATTATGTATGTTTAATTATGTTTAACGTGACCTACATAAAGTCACGAGAATAATGTAACGTTTATAATTTCAAATCTACTGATGAACCCGCATGGGACAAAAGCACTATAGATTAAAGTTTGAGTTTTTTCATTTAAATTTTGAGAATATATATATATATATATATAGAGAGAGAGAGAGAGAGAGAGAGAGAGAGAGAGAGAGAGGAAATATATAAATACCTGACTGCACAAATTTACGGTAAGATATATACCGCTAAAGATTTAACAGACAAAATAAATTTCGATCTCCCTAAGTGCTAGTCAAAAGACATAAATTTTCAAAAATGTTTTGATTTAAATTCTTTTATTGTCTTTGAAATTGAATAATGGTCATTATGTTGTAGAACAGGGTGGTCAAAAGGAACAGTCAACTGCTTGTTGTGAAGTAATTAAGACCCTGATAGAAGCTGGTGGAATTGATGTTAACAGTAAAACATCCCATGGTCTGCTTCCTCTTTGCGTAGCCGTGAGATTGGGTAGCCTTCCCTTGCTTAGTTTTCTGCTGGAAAAGAAAGCAGACCCAAACATATTGGACGCAATGGACGAAACACCTTTATCACTTGCTCTAATTGAAGGTGATATGGACATTGTAAAAGCATTGGTGGAAGCCAAATCTAACATAAACCATATAGGTGTTCTTCCAGGTAAAAGAGTTTATCATTTTTGATTGTCTTATTTTGTACTAATACGAAACTATCTTAGATTCACATGCCTCTACATCTTTGTATTATATTCCTAGGTAAAGAACCTAAATAGGAAATTATAATTTCTTAACCCCCACAAACGAAGTTTGGAGTATATTTGAATTGTGTCCAGCCGTCCATCTATCTGTCCAGCCACATTTTCCCAGACATTAACTCTTAAATTTTCATTTTTTTTCTCAATCTTTGTAAAAGTAATAATACCTTTTGAACATGTGCATTTTTTAAATCGACGAAAAATGGAGAAAACGCTTTGAAGCGTATGAAAACAATAAGAAATTCTGCAAACATATTTTGAAAAATGCATAGCACTTTGGTTATAATCCAGGTTATGTGACATCAAAGCACGGGGGCGTTTAAGGGATTGGGGGGAAAACCCTGAATTTGTTTCAAAATCGCTGAAAATCTCTGAATTTTCTAAATGCAAAAAAATTTTTGCAAACGAATCAAAACAAAAAGATTACCCCTTGATGATAAGTCAGGCAATTGGTATTTTCAAAATGAAAAAAAAAGCTATGACTTAAATTCTGATTTTTGATTATGCATAACTTTATGATAGGAGTAAGATGAATAATACTGTGAGATAAAGATATCTTTTAAACTAAGGTACTTTAGAATCTGAAAGGTGACATTCAAGTAGCTTGAGACTGGATATGCGTCTTGAAACTAGGTAAAATTACACGAGGATTAGGATAAAGGCTACAAAAGTATAAATTTATAATGTTCTAGTCACAACTTGTACAAGGTCAGGTCAAAAGTTTTATAAAATTCTTGATTTGGCCAATATGAAAGGGGAAAACATCCAAAATTACATTAGGCTCAAAATACAGAGAGTATGTAACATTAAAGTTTACATGTACATAAGGCTAAAAATACAGAGGGTTTGGTACAACCCTAACCCGTGTTATTTGGACAAGCTCAATATCACTTGCTTTGAAGAGTAAAAGATGCAAGTCCCTAGTTTCAATTTTTCTTTTTTGCCATAAACAAATTCTGCTGCAAAAATTGCAGTTCTTTATTTTTTTGAAGAACGATCATAGAAACTTCTGATTTTGTATGGAATAAGCAAGTGTTACGCCCGAAAACAAATCTTTTGCTCATTGTTCATGAATTCTGATTGAAAAGAATATTCCATAAGTTTTGTTTCATTTAGTACATAGACTTCAAATCTGGTAGCCATTTACTGCTATTTGCAACTACCATACTGTAAGTGTAAGGTGCCAAATTTCAGAGGTTTTTGGCTGAGTAATGTCTTTTGTATTTCCTTTTTTTGTAAGTACAGCAAAATACAATACGACGAGAATCATATTAGATTTTTAACATTCATTTTCATTTAAACACATTTCAGGAAACAGTAATGAACAGAAGGCCTCCCTGCTAAGCAGGTTATTGGATGAAAAAGGATCCTGTGCAGAATTATACAAAAGAAAAGTACTTCTTAACTTTCTTATTCAAAATGGCGCCAGTGTAAATCTTGACAAAGAGGGCATAGATTCTCCTTTGATCAAAGCTGTAAAACTCTCAACCGTACAGAAGACAGAACATCAAGAGGTGTCACCTTTAGACTTAGTTAGAGATCTACTTAAACTGGGATCGGAAATTAATCATCGAGGCGAAAGTTTGTCAACAGCGCTGCATGTCTGTTGCCAGCAATTGAGTAATGTTTTTAAATAAGTATTGACTCCTAAAAAAATATTTAGTACGCACCGAGATAAAGTTTATATGAACCATCAATGTTTTATATTTAAACTCGCCCATCTAGACTTATTATACCCCCGCTCCGAAGGAGTGGGGGTATACTGTTTTACCCTTGTGTGTCTGTCTGTCTGTCTGTCCGTAACAAATTTTGGTCGCAGTTTTCTCAGCAACTACTCATCGAAGGTGCTTGAAATTTTAGCACACTCTTTGTTTAGGCATGCCATATGGTGGGATTCATTTCTGTACGAATCCGATGTCAACTTCCTGTTTATCCATGCGTCTGTTTGTACCATACATAACAAATTTTGGTCGCAGTTTTCTCAGCAACTACTCATCGCAGATGCTTGAAATTTTAGCACACTCTTTGTTTAGACATGCCATATGGTGGGATTAATTTTTGTACGAATCCGATGTCAACTTCCTGTTTATCCGTGCATCTGTCCGTACCATACATAACAAATTTTGGTCGAAGTTTTCTCAGCAACTACTCATCGCAGGTGCTTGAAATTTTAGCACAATCTTTGTTTAGGCATGCCATATGTTGGTATTCATTTTTGTACAAATCCGATGTCAATTTCCTGATTATCACTGTGTCTGTCCATAACTGAACTTGTGTATTCACATCAGAGCGGGGGTATTATAAGTGTGCATTTTTGTTTTATCTAGCATGTACTAGTAGCTGTGAAAAGATAATCTTATCTTTATTTACTAACTGTGCAATAAGAACCTCTGTCCAAATCATATATCTTTGTGTTCCATTATTTTTATTTTATGATTATGGTAATATTATTGCAGTTAACCAAACATCAATTGACTTGTAACATGTAAAACAAAAGCAGATTGGAAAAATACATATTATTGTGTTGAATAAAATGAATACATTTCTATATCCGTATATATTTTTTTATTTGGTATTTTTCGTATTTGCTTCTAGGAGTACCTTTTCGTCAGGAGGATGACATTGATATGGAAATGTGGGAGGAAGTGTCTCTGGAGGAGGCTTTACTTGATGAGGCTTATTATCTTAAAGATGAATGTAAAAATGAAAACGTTGATGAGGAGAAGGATTCTTCTGACACCATATTTAACTTGTTGTTAAACTCGGAGGCTTCTGTTAATGTTCAATCAAAATGTGGAGCGACACCGGTACACATTGCAATCAAACGTAGACGTAGTTACCATGTTCTGGAGATGTTAAACCGAAATTTTGAAGCAAACACCAAGGATGCGTCGGGCGTAACCTGTGTAATGCTTGCTGCGGAATGGGGCGAAGAAAGAATTATCAAGGCTCTTATCAAACGTGGAGCAGATTTAAAGATAGAAGATAAAAATGGCAATACAGCATTGCATTACCTATGTATGTATAGAAATTTGTTATTCTGCATTTGTTTATTTTTTTAAAGTTATATATGGCGTATTTTTTAGAAGCTCAGGCTAACTAATATTAAAAAAATCTTTCTATTTGTTTTATTACCTTATAGAAAGATACTACTTTCCTGTAAATTACACAATTTAAATCAATCACGTTTCAAAGATATTAGAAATTTAAAACAATAACCGATTTATTTACCGACTCCGCATTTAAATAACAGATACAGTTTAAAGTCAATTCAACTATGGAAACACGAGGTTATTCAAGTTCAAAATCGGTGAAAATTTGAATTTGAACGTAAATAACATATATAATGTGTATCTACAATCTCGTATTTTTATTTTTTAGCTCAGATACGCCATATATAGCTTTAAAATGTTTGTCTTTTAAATCACTTTAAGATTTTTTTTTTTTTTTGATCCAGCGGGCCGTGTCAGCCACACACTGTAATTTAGTTTACATTTTCAGTGTCTTTACCTAAACAATGAATTATAATTACATAATAATTTTGTTTTAAGTCAACATGACTTACAGATAACCCTGTCGTTGTTTTTAATTTGGAATGACGTTTATTGCCACTGTTTTTCTGCTGATTGATATATATGTAAAATAAAGGGCTCAAGGCAGATGTTGCATGGTACCTGATTCCTCGTTTGTCCTGTTGACGTCTGAGAAAACATTGGATTGAAATTCTAGTACGAAATCTATTTTCAATCCACCTGAGCTATAATGCAAACGTTTCAAATTAATTATACCCCCGCTCTGAAGAAAAGGGGGGTATACTGTTTTACCCTTATGTGTCTGTCTGTCTGTGTGTGTGTGTGTGTGTCTGTCCGTCCGTAACAAATTTTTCGTCACAGTTTTCTCAGCAACTACTCATCGCAGAGGCTCGAAAATTTAGCACTCTCTTTGTTTAGGCAATCCATATTGTGGGATTAATTTTTGTACGAATTCGATGTCAACTTCCGGTTTTCCATGTGTCTGTCCGTACCATACATAACTAATTTTTGTCGCTTTTTTCTCAGCAACTATTCATTGCAGATGCCGGAAATTTTAACACACTCTTTGTTTAGGCATGTCATATGGTGGGATTTATTTTTGTTTGAATCCGATGTCAATCTGATGTCATCTTCCTGTTTATCCCTATGTCTGTCCTTAACAGAACTTGTGTACGTTCACATCAGAGTGTATATTCACATCAAAGCGGGGGTATTACTAGTGAGCCTTGGCTCAAAGACTTCTTGTTTATATCAGAGTTTTTTGCCAACGTCTTTAAGCACATGCAAAAGTTATAGAAGATAGGGATATTTCTTTCAGGGGTCATTTGATTCTTGAAGGAGGGGCTGCAAATCTTGTCGAATCTAATTATTTATGTTCATACCTTCACTTGATAGAATATATTCATTTTGAGGATAACAAGAGATATTAATAATTTTTTTCTTCACTGAAAAATGTTTGACAAGCAAAACGGGGAGAGGTGTCCAAACTACAAAAGAATCTTATTTCCACTTTATTTTAGCCCCCACTCCCACCCATCCCCATCAAACAGGAATCAAATGTTTGTCCCATTTATAGGTCACCTGAGTTTACCAGGTGACCTATTGCTATGTTTTCGTCAGCCGTTGTACGGGGGAAAAACTTTGATAAGTATGTCACTTCTTCAGACTCAATCAGTGGAGCTAGTCTCCTGCAGATTTCTTTTCATATAACAGCACCTTTAAAATGAAGATAATAATTGCACTACTTGTTTACATTCTCATTCTAGATCAGATTTAACAATAGACAACATTTCAAGAAAATTGAATATCAAAGTAATCATAAGGCCTATTGATATATGAATATTTATAAGCAACACTTTTTTCTGATTTTTGTAAATGTGCTGAAAATAGAGGGGGCCTCCTAATTTCCACAGGGGGCTTGTGGTTTTCATTAACTGGCAGGTCCTACGGGTCTTTGCTGCAAAATAGTTTTGGTACAGACTGTAGTTTCATTGCAATTTGTTTTATATAGATTTCCTTTTCAACATATTTGTCAAGGTAAATAAGATGTTATCTTCGAGAAAGTGCTTGGCCATAGTAAATTGATTAGGCACTGTGAAAATTTCTCGAAAATAACCCTATGTAAACAGAAATGCCGCCATCTTGTTCGGTCACTGTCAGCGTCGAATGTTTGTAAGATGGCAATACGACGTCTAAAGATTTCACTGATCTTCTGGTAGAATAAATTATCTGACGATTAGTTCTTTTACATTTCCGATATCAACGAAAAAATGTACATGTATGGACGTTGAAATTTTGATACGACCACATGCTATTTAAGCGATAATTTGTAGTAAATAAAATGCCCTGGCTTTATTTACTTTTCTGTCATATTTAATACTGAACTGTATTTGGTTTATAGGATTCCCAAATGTGGTTTATTCGAGGTGAAATGAGTTGACATCATTAAACAATATAATAATAAAGCTGAGTGTTAAGACATAGAAGCCCAGTATTATTTTTCTCATTCAAAAGTTATGTCCCAGGGTAAAGTTTTTGTAACAGCCAGCTTTCACAGACAATGAGATTTATTTTCCCTTCGTATTCGCAAAAGCGGGGGATTGAAAGGGTAATTAAGCCCTGATATCTTATGTCCAAGGAGCGAATGTATACCCCATCCTATTTTCAAACTATCAAACAATATGATGGATTTTGCATATGCCTAAATATTATGTTCCTGACCAAGCTTTGACAACATAAAACGTGATTATTAGGTCCCCAATAACAATTGGTGTATTACTCTTATTAACTTAAGAGAAGATTTAAAACTGGTTACATAATACTCAGGTGGTAACCGTGAAGGCCCATGGGCATCTTGTATTTCCTTCAAAAAATGGACAGAAAATTCTGATTTATATAATTTCAAACTATTCCTGAATAAAAATAATTTGTCTTCTGGATCAATCAGTAACACTGCTGAGGTGGATTGAAAATGAATTGGAAACTAGAATTTCAATCCAATGTTTTCTCAGACGTCCGCGTCTTATTTTACCCGCCCATGTCATTTTCTATCGTCAAATGCTTTGCCTCTAACAGATGGAAATGACGTAAGCTGCATATTTCCTATCTTGCCAGTTAATGTTCCGCAGTCTCATATATTAAGCAGATAAACTAGCATGAATGATGAACGAGGTGCCTCTTCCAAAATTATGAAAATTTTAATTTGGCCTTAAGGTCAGTGGTTCGGGACGGGGCACTCTTTTGATTATAGTGAAACTCTGAAAATCTTTCTGTCTGCTCCTGGGGTATTAAGGAAAACTTACTAAGTGCATAGTTATGATAAACAAGAATGTCTCTTTCAAAATTGTTGATTTCCTGGCACCTAGGTCAGGGGTTGAAGTGTTGGGGCAGAATTCTATTGATTATAGAGTGAAAATGCATTAATTCTTTGAAAATTTTGTTCGCTGATTTAGGGTATTAAGCAGATAAACTGAGTTCATGGTTATGATGGGCAGGGGTGCCTCTTCCAAATTGTGAAATTTTTGGCCCCAGGGTCAGGGGTTCATGGGGGGGGGGCTCTTGATTATATAGTGAAAATGTGTTATATCTTAGAAAACCTTTTTTCCTAGGTATTTATCAAACAAACTAAATGCAATGTTATGATAAGAAAGGTACCTTTTCCAAAATTGTGAATTTCATGGCCCCTGGGTCAGGGGCTTTGGTGTCAGGGTTGGGCTCTATTGATTATATAGTGAAAGTGAATTATTTCTTTGAAAATCTTCCTTCCAGTCCTGGGTATTCAGCAGATAATCTAGTGCAGGATTATGATTGAGCAATGATGTTTCTTTCAAAATTTGAAATTTCCTGGCCCCTGAGTAAGGGATTCTGGTGTTAGGACAGTGCTCTACAGATCAGATGGTGAAAATGCATAATTATCTTAATATATTCGTTTTTGCACCTGGGTATTTAGCAGACAAACTTTTTGCATGATTAAGATGAGCAAGGATGCTTCTTCAAAATTATGAAATTCATAACCCCTGGGTAAGGCGTCTTGGTGTTGGTGTCTTGGGGCTCTCTTGAATATATACTGAAAATGCATTATTTCTTTGAAAATATTCTTCTCTGTCCTTAGATACTTAGATATATACTAGGTACATAATTTTGATGAGCAAATTTTATGGCCTTTAGGTCAGTGATTCTGGTTGCACTGCGGTGCTTTGTTAATTATATAGTGAAAATGCATTCATTCTCTGAAAATCTTCTTCTCTGCTCCTGGGTAATTAACAGATGCGATAAGTGCATGGTAATGATGAGCAAAGTTAAATTGCCTCTTCCGAAATTTTTAATTTCATGGCCCCAGGGTCAGAGATTCTGGTAATAGGGTGGGACTCTATTGATTATATAGTAAATACACATTTTTTGTTTTCAAAATCTTCTCTCCTTCTGGGCATCCAAGGAATAGACAGAGTACATTGTAACAAACAAGGGTATTTTTACCCGTTTTAGAAATTCTGGGCCATTCAGTCAAGTGTTCTGGTGCTGGGCAGGGTTCTATTAATTTGTATTCTACTGAAAAAAATTATTCTCCTTTGCTATTCACCTAGATTATTAATCACTGTAAATAATGTAATTGAAAGGTCCATTGAACAAGAGAATTATACAAGAGTTTTTTACAATATCCAATACAAAAGGTACTTTCATATTTTTTTATTGGTCAGGTAGATTGTAAATAATATATAAATATAATTAGACAGAAATACCTTATCTTTGTACATTAGTGCATGTTCGTCAAAGAACAAGAAATGCCAGTGTAAGAGGGAATTAGTTGGGTTTACCTTTGTTTTGTTAAATTTGCTTAATGATGGTCAAAAATGGGGGCAAATACAGGAAAGTAAATGGATCTTCTTGAAGATTTGTAACTTATTATTTTATTTATGCCTGATCATCCTATTTCTCTTGCTTTTGGGCAATATAACTTCATCTTCCAGATTATTTTGTTTTATTTTATATGGGTTCTTTACAGTGTCGTATTATATCCAGGTGACCATTAAGACCCTTGGGCCTCTCGTAAAGGAATATGATTTAAAATTATTGTGAATCAAATTTCTGTTTTGGACATTAATATGAGTGCAACATCATGTAAAATAAACTCAAAGTTTGTTCATATTATGGTCCTTGGGGCTCAGGCAAGATGTTATATATGGCTTCTCAGTTTTTGCATAGAAAATGTACGATCTTTACAATTTTTTTCTCCACAGAATGACAAGGCTACAACTGCGAATATTCTAATGTTATTTGAATTAAAATTAGATCAAAGCGTGTGCATAGGAATATTTTGAAATAAGAGAAAAAAACATGTAAATGTGTACAAATTTCATTTTAAAGTGCAAGATTTTTCATGTACTCTAAATGAATGTTTAAAGAGGGAGGGAGGGGTTTGTTTGTATGTTGTTAAACGTCCCTCTCGAGAATTTTTCACTCATATGGAGACGCCACCACTTGCCGGTGGAGAGCTGCAAATTTTGTCCTATACTTGGCACTTACGACCATTGAGCAGTGAGGGATCTTTTTCGTGCCAGCACCTACTGTGGCACGGGACCTCGGTTTATACGGTCTCATCCGAAGGACCGGTCTCCACTTCCCACAGTTGGATTCGAACCCGCGACGTAAGGATCAACTCCTTACTTCGCGACTCTAGAGCAGACGCTCTAACCACTGCGCCACTCGGGCGACAGGGAGGGTGGGATAGTTAAAATCCAGTATGTTAATAATAATAGACGAGGGCATTTAAAGTTCTGAGAACTGTTTAATAAAATATTAACCGTTTAACGAAAGTTTATGAGTTTTATATCATTGAAAAGATCAGAAAAAATATGTACAAATTCTAAAATCTCCGAAAATGACATCAGAATCCCGGGTGTCTAGTACACTGGACATAAAAATAAGGTAACAAGAGACACAATTTCAGCGAAGTAAAATTTTTAAACTCAACTCTTATTCATTACTTGGATGCACGCTAACGGACAGAATTGCCAGGAAGAATTTTTACATAGATTACAATCTGTAATATGTATTTATATTCAGGATCTACTACAGTTCTGAGGTTGTTTAAGAGTGTGTCAAACTTAGCATGTTATTATCGAATCTCGCGCTTAATATTGGGTAAAAGAGACGATACTGCGAGAAAATGACAAAGTTGATGATCACAGGAGAATAGAGGACGGTGTTGCAAAATTTGCTGGCATTAATTCGTCAGGTGTTTTACAGCAGTTTGCGGGAACAGTGAAAACTTGGGAGAGGTTTAGCTAAGCGTGTTCCATATATGTTCATAAAGATCAAAATGGCGCCCAGGTAGTTGAACCCCACTGTTACACGATATGTTCGCAAATTTTAACTCCTGAAAAAATAAATAAGGCTGTAATTAACAATGAAACTCATAGTTATTTTTCTGAGTTGAAAGTTGAAAGTAATAATGAGATTTGGATCACCTAAGTTGAAATATTTTGAAAAAATACGCACAAAACAAGTCTAAAGGAAGACTTGAGTACGTTTTATTCATAAGGGTCGTGTTACTCAAGATACATTTGTGGAAAAACTGTATTGTTACTCTTCAGATTTATATAGAATATGTTTTGTTAAATACAGTGGAGAGCTATATAATGGACCAAAAGTCCGGCTAAATCATATAAATAAATATCTTTAATAAATGTCTTTGATACCTTTTCGGTCATAAACTGTGCTTATAAACCAACCATAAAATAAATTATGGAGTTGCTGATTTAATTTACCATTCTTACAGTCATACCCTAGTTCCATGCAAAGTTTCTTTGAAAAATCTTTGCTTTAAAAAACCATTTGACATCCCTATTGCGTTGTTCTCATGTGGACAATAAAACGCGATATTTCAGTATAATAAAAACACGGGATTTTGACATCATTTTGGAAGTTATTACATTAAAAACATTTAAAAAGTGACGTCGAAATAAGTGCAAAATTTCCAGCTCTCCCCTCCTAAAAGGTACAATCATGTAGTATAATTTTAAGGTAATACAATTCACAGGTCCACCAGAGTCAGCGTTTGACAGTGAAAAGTTTAAAAGTTATTAGAATGTAATAACTTTCTCAAGAACAACAGTACACACTAATTATTATTAATGAATACATGTATTTTCAAAAGACCACTTTTTTATGAATTTATATAGCTATCTTCAAAATCATTTGTCGCAAATAAGAATGTGAAGAGTTTAGTTCTAAATTGGCATCATATGATTCACAGAGCAATCACTTGACGTTAGATGATGTGACAACCTGATTCAAAACTTGTTAAGCTTTTTCACAGTTCTAAATATCTTTCATTTCTATTGAATTTTCTTTTCTTTTTCCTACTTAAAAGTTGAATAACTATATCAAGACATATCCAGAAATGTTTTTTGTGGTGTTTCGGATAACAGTGAGATCTTTTAAAAGCATTGCCTACGCATTTAAGCGATCAGGTATGGAAAAAATGCAAAATTCATAGGCCTTCGCAACTTCCATGCAATAAGAGGGGGTATTGGAGTATCGCAGGAGTTAATAATCAAAAATTTTAATTCTTCCATTTGTACAAAGCTACTACTATTTGAAAACTGTAATAAATGAAAAAGACAGTTTCCATCATAATCTTTCTCACATTTCATTTGTTTTGAGATGTTGTAAGGAATAAGCTCTTTTCCAGACTCTTCTTAATGATTATTCTATACTGAAAAATTGTTCTTCACCATTGGGGAGAACTAGGCTGCTTTTTTATGCATATCAATGGTCGTAAGAAAATGTTTAGATTCTAAAAAATTCCACATAAGAAGCAGAATGGAGGTTAGTAGTTATTACGGGTCTAGATAGGCGGGTCAACTGAGTGCACTTTTTTTTTTACCCCCGAGTTCTAAAAATAGACCTGTGGATGGGTCTAAAAATAGACCTGGATGGGTGTGTTTAGTGCACTTTTATCCCCCAGAGTTCTAAAAATAGACCAGGGATGGGTGTAAAAATAGCTACACCTGGGGGATCTAAAAATAGACCCAGAATTGATTCTAAAAATAGACCCAGAATTCATTCTAGAGTGTACAAAAAAACCAAAACAAAAAGGATTTTTGAAATATTTATATCATTTAAAGAACAATAATAACAAAAAAAAAAAACACAGATCACCTTCTTTGGATTTTTGCTTTCAGTTTATCATTTATATTGGTATTTTCAAGTTTTCTTTTGTTACTCACTGTGTTAAGAGTGTTTTGTACATCATATAACATCACACAAGGAGTGCTTTTTTGTTTCTGAGTCTTTTTTTCGTGAGTTTTCACTAAGTGTTGATCTTCAATACACTCATTTCTGAGGGGTGGTGAGTCTTTTCTTGTCTGGTTCATGTTCTTTTCCATCATGTTGACTTGCCCTTCTAATTTGGATAATCTTTCTTGTATTAAACCCATGCCCGTGTCCTTACTTGTTTTTTTGAAATCCTCCAGTAAATTAGCAATGTCATTCATTTGACTCCTCAGGATCCTCATATCTGTTTTGGTCATGGATTCTGTAATGTGATATATGTCCAAATCCATTCCAATGGGATCTTCTTTAAGGTCATTCACTATCCATTCCATATCTTCTTTGCTGATTAATTCTGGAAGATTCTCATCTGAAAAAAAACATCATGAAGATTTATCATTGCATGTATCCTATGTTTGCCTATTTTTTAAAAAAAAATACTAATTCAAAGACAGATGGTATGTTATGTGTTTTACATACCTTTTTTCCTCATCTCTTCTTTGGGTTCATGAATGAGGTAGACCGCTAAATCCAATGCAATAGAATCTTTAACATCATTGACAATCCATTCCATATCTTCTTTGCTCATCAATTCTGGAAGAGTCTCAGATGAAATATCTTCTTTGGTGATGGGTTCAGGAATGTACTGATACATGTCCAAATTCATTCCAATGGGATCTTTAATCTCATTTATCATCCATTCAAAATCTTCCATGCTGATCAGTTCTGTAAGATTCTGCTCTGAAACATCATTAGGATTCATCATCATTGACTTGTGTGTCCTATATCTATTCTCTTTGCCAAAAAAAAAAGTATTCACTGAAAGACTGATGCTCTAACTGACTTCACTCTTGAGTTTATATACCTTTTTTAGTTAAGGGTCTCGTGCAAAAAGCACGAGATGAAATTCTTAAAACACCTGCACAGAGGGTCCTGTACCTAATCTTGGCTGGGTCTAAAAATAGATACACCTGTTGTGTGTATAAATACCCACGCTGGTCAGCTGTTAACTGTCATTCCTTAGCTAGCTGATTTACTAAGGACCAGAGACGATGGCTGAGGAATTCCACGAAGATTTATTTCTTATTCCCGGAATCGAACTAGTCTGTTACTACTCGGTAAGAAGAATTTCTGATGGGGAGGAATTGGTGAAATGCCCTATGATGCGAGTTCAGCTTAGTACCGACACAAAAGCAAGAAGAAGATATATTACCCCAGAGGAATTCCACGAAGATTTATTTCTTATTCCCGGAATCGAACTAGTCTCTTACTACTCTTTAAGAAGAATTTCTGATGGGGAGGAATTGGTGAGATGCCCTATGATGCGAGTTCAGCTTAGTACCGACACAAAAGCAAGAAGAAGATCTTTGACCCCATTTGGTAGGCCAGAGCAGACCAGATCATCATCGCCTCCACCCCCCGAACGCTGAGATGTTTTTTTGTCTTTTTTAATAAAATATAGACTTTCTCATTGGAAATAAAGTGTATACAAATTGTTTTTAAACCAATCGGATTCTATTCATCTTAAAAATTTTATCTTAAAAGGTCAGGATTGAAAAGAATCTTATATTCCCTATACAAGTCTATACATTTAGACGCTGAGATGTTTTGGTCTTTTTTATAAAAATCTAGACTTTCCCATTGGAAATAAAGTAGATACAAATTGTTTTTATAAGTTTCCGATGGTATTCATCTCAAAATTTTCATCATCAAAGGTCAGGATTGAAAAAAATCTTATATACTCTATACAAGTCTATACAGTGATTTTCTGAAAATGGCTGACCTTTGACCTCCCTTGTGTTTATGTTTAGACCGACGCTAAGTTTATTTCTACACTTGTATGAATTCTTTTGATTTAAAAACCCTCTCGACACTTTTCCTTAGGTTCGATCTTAGGATAGACATTAAGTTTTCTTGGTGTCACACTTTTAAAAGTCTAAAACTCCTTATTTTAGGTATTCAGGTCAGTCAAGGTTAGGCCTTCGGTTCGGCATGAATCAGTCTGTTCTAAACAACGCAGAAATGTCATGTATGAAAAATACTGTGAAATCATCCTCAAAACTTACCTTCGTTCTTTCACTAGAAGGTTTGAATGGATATATCATTCCATAATATGTTATTTAATCCAATGTATGTATTCACAAACACAAAATAACACAAATTTGAATTCTCCATGATTTTTTGAGCTCTGTTTCATCCGGGCTTTTAGGGTGCTCTCTTTTCGGGTCGCGCTGTGTGTATAAATACCGACGCTCGTCAGCTGTTAACTGTCATTCGTTACTAGCTTATTCCAGCGACACTTACGATGGCTTCCCTGTTCCATGAGAACATTTGGATTGAACGGGGCGTAGAAGTAATTTTACAGATGGTAGTGAGGGACCAGAGAACGGGAGAAGAGTTTGCTGTCCTCAACATGGGAAGAGTCAGAGTGGGTGATGTTGCCAGCTTTTCCAGCCGGAGATCCAGACACACTCCATATTCCAGGCACAGTCCCTACAGGAGACCAACACCAGCAGATTACCCTGACCCAATATACCATCCGCGGCCGGAAGAGGAAGGACGAAACTTTCACCTACCAGATTCTCCAGAATCCCCCCCCCCTTCGTCACCAGCAGCAGGGGTAAGAATCCAGCAGCTCCTCAACGCTGCAGTTCCACCATCACCACAGCCGCAGGACCGGGCCGTGTTCCAGGGTTGTATCCCCGGGTGGGGGATACAAGCACCCGTAGCGGAGGGGTATTGTGTGCTCTGCTTATGTGACGGTGAACAAAGTAATTTCTTCTGCGGCCGATGCCTGCAAAGGCCTGCGTGTTATCTCTGTGCAGCGCGACTAATCGACAGAGGAGAAGGCTGTCCCCTCTGCCGGTATGGCTGCCCAGAGCCAGCCCCTGTGCCTGCGCCCCCCACATCACCACCTCCACCACCACCGAGGAGACCTCTCTCCCAGAGGAGAGAGTTTGGGGAGTACAGCCGCCAGGCTGAGAGAGGGATTTCAACAGGCCGAGGGCGAGGCCGACGTCCCAGGGAGTAAACCCTGTAGAAAAAAAAAACAACAACGGTCCTTTTAAGGACCAACCAGGGAGTAAACCCTATAAAAAAAAATCAACCAACGGCCCTTTTAAGGGCCACTTTAATGATTCGAAAAGATACCTTTTTTGATACACAGTTGGTTATTAAAGAAACGTCTCATAAAAAAAACACTCAAGGGGTCACGGTTGTTTTAAAAAATTAAAATTAAATTAATTTTATTAACATTAATTTTTAAAAAAAAAAAAAAAGAAATAAGAATTTTTTTTTTTAATTTTTTTTTTATTTTATGAATATAGAACTCTTATTTTTTTTTATGAAAGATACTTTTGAACACCTAATGATTTTTTATTTATCACATAAAACACTTATAATAAAACAGCAAGTCAGTTAGAAAAAAAAGGCTACTCATTGTGACGTCATCAGTCCCTCTAGAAAGAATAACAACAAGTATATATTTTTCTTTTTGTTTATTTGTGAGAGCAACAACAAACAACAATAATAACACTCAATTATCGGGCTTCTAATATCGTATCCTTAGAGACTTTAGAAAAAATGCTCAAGAAAGAAATGGATGAAGTCACAGTGTCTTATCCTTATAAAATACAGAGGACCCGAGATCATCAAGTCAAGACAGTACCTTTAGATAAAAAGTATAGAATTGTCTATGACAAGAGACAGATCTTGAAAAATTATAACACTTTACCTTATGGTTATTAAAAATGATAGTTATTAACTATAAATAAAGCATTGAAACTACCTTTGTCTTCATTTGTCATCATGCA